TAAAAAAATCATATACATAAATTAAGAATTCACATTTGGGCATCAATCTCTTACCGACGTAGAGGCGTTCTTCTAGAGGAAAAATCCAATGCTAAGTGGGTTGATGATCATGCTTACACGCGTTCAATCATATCGCGTGACTTGGGAGACGGGTCTAAATAATTTATTAATTTTTCTTTGCTGGGCAAAAAGATTGCACTAACAAAGCCACATTTTTCTTTTTGAATGGGAAAGTCCACATTTTTAAAAATGTACGGTGGGCACGACTAAAAAGGTGATTTTGTTTTTATACCATCTCTGATTCTAATTATAAGAACCAGTTCACTAATTTGAAAAGATTAAGAAAGTAAATTGAGTTAGTTATTTGTCTTAAATAAGTGTTGTCTTTCCTAAAATATCCTTACTAATCAAGTATATTGACTAGAACTATCATTGTTAGAAAGGTTACTGTAGAAAAAAATGTATAAATGTGAGAGATAAAGTAGATTAAGACTTTATATTTAGGATCAAAATAAAAATCAAACAGAGTCTTATATTAAGAATAATAGATAGTACCATAAAAAGGTTCTTTTATTTGGTGTGACTTTCTTTTGTTGTTTAGTATTATTTCTGGTCTGTAATATAAGATTTTATTTAATTTTTATTTTGGTTTTAAATTTAAAACTTCAATCTATTTTGTTTCTTATATTTATCTATTTTTTAAGAGAATTCTTTTAATAATAGTAGTTTTAGTTAATATATTTGATTAATAAGGATATTTTAAGAAAAACAATATATATTTATTATAAATAACTAACTTAACTTATTTTCTTAATCTATCTAAATTAATCAACTAGTTTTTATGGAGATAGTATGATGATGAAATCGTGGTCGAAATGCCAACATAGAAGAATCTAGTTCACCCGCTATGGACTTCAAAACTCTCATGACATTATTATAATACGAGAAAAAGGAGGGAAAATGTAAAAAGAAAAAAAAATCATGAAATATATTTTTGTTTGATTCTTTTGTTTTTTTCCCCTCATAATATATTATACAATATTTTTTTTACTAAATAATTCAGACCATGTAAAGTTGGCAAAGCAAAGCCGCAAATAATGAATGCCTGGATACAAATAGCTTACTCTTTTTTTTCCCACCCATAAAAGGTGTATTAAATTCTTGGGGGAGTGCTTGAACCAATAATGCTTAAAAAGGTAATTAAAAGAGAATGTATGGACCAAAATAGGAGACTTAGCACATAAGAATCCTTGGTATTAATAAAACTTGGCTTGTGTAATTACTTTATTTTCTTCATGTTAAAAATAAATTAATAGATGTTCAAATATAGGAAAATTAAAATTTACTCATTTCTTGTGGATGGTTCTATCTCATTATTCCTCTCAATATTTATACGATTTGGAATATTAAATCTGTTCACTTAACTCAACTTCCCTTCTTTTTTTGGTCAAATTACTCAACTTCTTTGTTGGTTTGTATTTTGAGCTGTTTTTTTTTTTTTTAAACTTTCAAGTTACTCAACTTTCTTAATAATCTTTTTAAATTGGTTAGCTAGTTTTCACACTAAGAATCGAATATAGTATTTTATTTTTAGTGTTAATATAAGTTTTGGTTCTTCAAATTTGTTTTTATTTTGGTTTTATCTCTCAAATTTTTTTCATTTAAAAAATTAATTCTTATAATTTAATAAAGACCTAGATTAAAATGAGAACAAATTTAAGAGACTAAAAATTATATTAACTCTTAATTTTAATTAATTTTTATTTTGGGGGCGACTGAGTTCAGTTTAAACGGGAGAGCTGAAGAGGAGGCCGAGTCATGTCCAACATTATGAGTCCATAAATTGCTGCGCCGCTAGGTCGGCTACATTGCATAGTTGCGATAGAGGTTTTCAGGTTCCCAACAATTCAGGCATTAAACTGTTCTGTTTTGAAAACTTCTTCTCCTTGTAAAAATTATGTTGAAAAACAGTCTTTTTACATACAAAATAATACTCTTCCGGTCCTAAATATAAAATTCTTATACTAATATATAAAGGTCTTATATTTAGAATCGGAGGGGTATTATAAATAGACTCGGACAAATCAATGATTTAAAAAAAAATTAATTAATAATGAGTAAAATAACATTCAGTATTTTAATCTTATTTTTCTGATATTTTTTTCTTATACATTCAACACCCAGTATAATCTTTTAATCATATGCAGTAGTAGCATCTTAGTCCTATTTATAGTTTCGGGCATTGATCAACCATAAATAAGCTAAGAGTACTTTATGTATTATAAATAAAAATCAGGTAAAAATTATTTTTAAAATTATGATTTGTTTTTATTCATATTTTTTTATATTTAAGTGACAATAACTACTGAGGTTAAAAAAAAAAAACTCATATATGGATTCAATGAAGCAACAAGCTGTAATAGGCAAGATGCTCATTTGAAATTGCTGTCTTCCTGCAGAGGCGCAAAATGAACAGTACGAAAAAGCAGTTTCTGAAACCTACTTTGGGAGATTATTGCAAGGGGCATGCCAATGCCAGTGCGGTTGTTTAGTGTGAAAAGAAAGAAAGCGAGAGGATGGTTCACACTACTCCACGCTAGCCGTTGCAGCACTCAGCAACAGGCAGCTAGTCGGTTAACCAGTTGGCCTTTCACGCTAACCAGACCCCTTCCCTCCGTTTACGCGCTCCCCTCCTTCTCCATCTGTCCCACGCCTTCTTCCCCCTTCCTTCCTCACGCGCCTTCTCCGCTTCTCTCTCTCCTATATATACCCCTTCCCTCCCAACGTCTTCCTCTCAACCCTCCTCCATTCAAGCTCCTTTGATTTCCGCTCTCATATTTCTTCTCCGACTTTCTCAAACTCTTTCGTTATCATGGCGCCGGTGACCACGTTCAAGGCCTTTGCCGTTCTCCTTGTCGCCGCTATCTTCGCCGCCGTGGCCTCCGCTCAGGACTTCGACTTGTCTCCCTCGCCGGCTCCTGCTCCCGATGTCGGAGCTGCGGGATCTGTTTCCAGCTCCGTCGCAATCATCGGTGCCTCCCTTGTCTTGTCGATGCTAGCTATTTTGAAGAACTAGACTATGTTCCATTCATTTTATGATCATACGTTTTATACACATATACACGCATACTAATGGATTATTTTACAGAGTGGTGATTTGCTTTATATTTGTCGATTTAGAGTTGAGTTTTGTGGCATTCAAAATAATATCTATATGATTTCGAAGACATACGTGTTCGTTTGATACTATATCTATACTATATCTATACGTGTTCGTTGGACTGAGAATGAGTTTAACACTGGACCAGAACATTTATATCAGGGTTTCAAGCTCTGTACGATCGTTATCATGATTCCATAGCTCCACTTTTTTTCCCTCACTTGTTTTTTGTTCCTCTATGCTTAACTGAAAATAAATGTGTACACAAAATTAGGTCAACTGATTAATGATGAATCACAATCATATTAATCCTTTAATTTTCCATCAATTAAGCACAAAATACTGTTAGAACAAATTTTTCATATAGATCTCAATGAATTATTCGTAACAATAAACTTTTAAATTAACCATCCGGAAATTCTGCTAAATAAGATGTAATTATAGAAGTTAATTAAATATAGTCCTTCAGTTAAAATATTGTGAGAAATGAGTTACTACTATATACTTTTCACAGGAAATAAAAATCAGAAAAATAGATGAATTGACGGTTTAATACATTTTCTGGAAGTGTCGATATATGGTATTCAGAATCTTTCTATATACATATATATATATATATATATATATTTGTATCTCTGAAATTTCTTAGTTAGTTATCTCGATCATATTTCTTCCTCTTTCAATTTTTATTTAAACTTAAACCCACCCCTCTACAGTTTAATCCTAACATGCATCCAAATGAACATCGCAGGCGAACACACACAAGCAAGTTATCGTTTAAAGTTAATCCATTATACCCTCAGGCCTCAATGGACGTGACGAGAAACGTTAAATAAAACTATTTATGCAACCGAAATAAAATTATTATGCTATTAGATAAGCATCCTAGAAATCTCATCATCGCTATATATAACTTCCATTAGTTTAATCTTCAATCGTGTTTTGATCAGAGTTCTGCTTCTGCATAAGTAACTTTAAACCAAACCCAACGCAATGAACATATTCTTATAGATTGTCTAAACATGTGCTTAAACTTTTGTAGAAAAGTAACTATCCGAAGTCACATCTGGTCATATGCGTTATTTGTCTTTAACTTTAATTTTGTTTACTCAGATCAATTATGTACTATTTTTATTATAAAACCTTATTTATAAATTATAAATTATATTTTATAATTAGAACCGGAGGTAATATTTAAGCAGCTGTGTCATTCCAAAAAAAAGAAAAAAGAGAGAAATAAATTGACCCGGAAAAAAGGTTTCAACGAAAGTAGCGGTCGAGGAGCGGAGGCCCTATAGCCTGAAGGGACAGTTTTATGAATCTAAATAGCAGAATTTATTGCTATCAATTACAAATAATATTTAAATTATAATGAGACGAAAAACCTTTGAAATTTGTTGTTGTTATTACAGCTTCCCCACATCTTCGAAGGTTTACCCGCCATATTCCCCCTTTCCCAAATGCTATTTAGCAAACTAGTTCAATTAATTTTATTTTTAAAATTTATAATTTCTTTCTTAGACTATTTTTATCAAGTACACATTAAAAAATAATGTTTATCAATGAGATAATTTCAATACAAATAATTAACAAGAATTTTATAAGTATCCCATCCACTGTTATTTTGACTTGGGTGGATGGGTGATAATATGTTTCAGTAAACTGGCGGAATGGAAAAGCCGCTCGGTTCTCCGTACTGAACGGTGTCCCTGTCCCCTGCATTTTCATTTCTTCGTATACAATAAATCTAATAGCACTCCAGATTCTTTAAAGCTAATTAAAATTAAAAATTCAATTGAACTGATGAGAAAGAAAGAAATGGAGGCAAAGGTCACTGTGTGAGATTCATCAGAATAGGAGTAAATCTGTTCTCAAATGTCAACCCCAACCCCCCAAAAAAAAAGAAGCTAAAGATTCAACAATTCCCCTCATTTCACACTAGAATGCAGCATCATGGAGAATCATGATGGCTCAGCAGGATTCTGCTCTTCATTATTTGATACTTTAGGATCTTCATGACCCGACGAACTACCAAGTGTCTCTGATGGGGGCATATCAGGAACAGACAAAGATGAACCACCCTGCCCCGCTACAGAAGGCACAACACCCATTGCTTGATCATCAAAACCTTCAATACCAAACCACCATGAACCATCCGGACCCTGATGAGTTAATGGCATAATCTCAAATAGATTCAAGTCTTCAGAATCAATGGCGTCTGAATTAGAATCTAAAACTTCAGACATAGCAGCCAAGCCAAAGGAAGGGTCAGTTTCATCATTTGAGGTGTCAGCATCAAACTGCATTGAATTAACCAGTGTCCCTGGTAAACCCCTTATCTCTGAAGGATACATCTCATTGAAAAGCTCTAAATTTGGAGGAAATTCTTGACTTGGCAAATCCAGATATGATCTGGGTGGAGCTGGTGGTGGTTTGTGATGTATCCATGTATATGAACCAGGCTTCACTGTATGCTGAAAGCAAGAACATCGAAATCACACTCTAGACTTATCACAGCAAAAAGTTACACATTAAAAAGTAAAGTCATCCAAAAACAATCACAAGTAACCAAAAATCCTCTATACAGATTTTAGAAATTCAGGCAGTACCACGGTTCAGTAAGACTTGGTTTCAGAACACTGCTTCTCTAAGTTTATTTCTTTATCTATCCATTTATTTTTCTTCCCTTGTTCCCCTTGAACATCTTGTTTTATCAATGAAAAGGCTATGAACATTACAATAGGCATGGCATTTGCTGCGACACAACAAAATATAGACCTCAATTGAGAAGAAAACGGAAAAATATTTAATATGTCTATAGACTGCAGATGATTTCTGAGAGAAGTGGAAAAAGATTTCATTGTTATTCAAACATAGTTAGACACAAGGAGCTAATTTAGAGTTTCTGAATATTTTCAATGCTATATAGACAACTACTATGCAAAAGAAACACTAGTTTCCCGGGAAAATCAAATGAACACGGTCATTTATAGCTCTCATTTCCTAAGTGAAAAGGCAAAAAGACACCGTAGGGAGGGCAACTCATTTACCCTGTAGAAACAATTATTCCTAAAGGGACAATATCCGTTTCCCAAGTCAAAATGTCTGCAATTAATCAACCTGAAAAGAAAAACAATAATAAACAAGTAAAAACCGTGTATAAGTTAAATCAGCTCTTTTCAGTCTCAATTGAATTGAGTTGAGATTATCTACGTTTTTTTTTTTTTTTTCCAGACAGTCCCCAAGTTATCTCTTCACTAGGCATAAAAAGTCAGTCCCTCAGCAAAAATAATAAGGGGGAGTGTAACAAAAAAATATATCTCACTTCACAAGGAATATGACAAGGGGAGAGGAAAGAAAGCCCAGTTGCCCCGTCAATGAACACTGATGGACCCTTCAGCAATTGACCATAATAAATAAAAGAGTAAATTATACAAATTTTCCCAGAAACTTGAATTTAGTGATCACTTAAGCCAATAACATGCAGGGGCAATTAAGTAAGTAGATAATAAATTACTTGCAGCTTGTCTTGTAGTTGCCAATAATTTCCTGTTTCTCTTCCATTGTAAAATACCAGACAGTACTTGGAATCACGTAATATGATAACTTCCGGCATATGGGGCAGGTCTTCACATTTCTATTGGCCGGTAACTTTATAAATGAGGTTGGAGCACTACTACGCCAATTCCTGATACATGATAAACAGAAAGGATGATTGCACGCAGAAAGAATACCAAACTTACATTCATCTGCTTTAGGCTTTGAAAGAACACGTTCATAGCAAATCCTGCACTCTATTTCTTGACTTTTATTCAAAATCTCAAGGTACTTTTCCTTTTTCTCACAGATTTGCAAATGCTCCTCTTTTTCATTTGGTTCAGAATGATACAGGCAGAACCTTTTACAGTAAACACATAGTTCTCCAGGAATACAAGAACACTTTTTTCTTGATGGTAAAGCAGTACTGGGTTCGCTGGCATCATAATTCTTTTGGTAATCTTGATGCTCAAGTTTTATACTCTTTCCATGTCTTTCAAAATTCAGGAGCTGACTTCCATGTTCCAAAGATTGTGCCTGAGAAGTTTGGATATGTTTATATTTGCATTGACCACCAAAAGCACATATGCCTTTCTGATAGAACCTACAAATCTGTTTTCAAAATGTATGAGGAAAGAAATACAAAATTGTTAAGTATCATTAATTGGTAAGTAGGTAGAAGGAAAGCAGAATAAGAAGGAAGCACATTGATTGAAGGATTCTTTCTGTCATGAGAGTATTCACACTGGTCCCCTTTGGTACATGCTCCGCGAGCAAAGAACTTGCAATGCCTAAAGGATCCCCAAATTTAAAATGAACAAATTACAACAATGAGTAATTGGAAGAATAATTGATCTAAACAACTCAGATTGAAGAGTAGAGATGAGTAATGAAGAGGAGAGCAACCGATTTGAGTCAACACACAACATCATCATCAACAACAACAACAATAACAAGTCTTATTTCACGAAATGAGCTTGGTTACATGATTGCATGACACCATTATGCTCTATCAGCAGCTAACTTCTCAAAAATGCCATCTACCAAAAGATCTCACTTAATAACTTCCTTGGGGATGTTGAGTTAATACACATAAAGAAAATGCACATCATAATTTCAATTAATACACAGAAGAAAATAGGAAAAAGCCTTGGAGACATTGGCAGAAAGAAGTCGTCATGAGCATTTGATCCCGCACAAATGAAAAATATACCTCTAGCATCACCAGCCCATTAATAACATAGGTCAGACATTAAAAAGTTAACTAAATTGTAGGGAAGGCTTCCTCATTTATCATTCATGCTAAGGAACCCATAATAGGTAAGAAAAAATTAATTTCACAGCCATTACTTGTTAAAATTATCCATCTAACTAACCATGACCCACAAATGCCCTTTATTTCTTCGTTCGCGCCTGGACCACTCATATACGTAAGAAAGAAAAGAGTGAAAACCAAAGAAATCACTGTGAACATAAAGAAAGGGGAGACAATGAAATGTTTCTTGTAAAAGGACTGAAAATTTACTCAATTAATGAAGCAATATCATGCGATTTAATTGAATTTGAGAGACACACACGCAGAGGGGGCCAAAAAAAAAAAAGAACAATTCACCTCTTAGGCATAGGGAGATCTGCGAAATTTGTTGCGAAGAATCACAAATCTGAAGAAGATTTGAGGTTATGAATAGGGGCGTCCCTGTTCCTTCAGCCTTTTCTTGTACTCATAGGACTGCCCTTACATTGCAGTTTCATGATCAAGCCTCACTGGCATTTAGATGGCACACAACACGTGATCAAAGATACGACAACGGCAATTTTCCGTTTAATCCTAGCCATTTTCTTGATCCACAAGCCTTGTCATGCAACACAAGATAAAACATCAAAGCACACCGTTTTGAGACCAATGAAATGATGCACTTGATCAGTCCTCTTCTGCCAAACATGATGTGATTTCGATTGTTTGTATTGCAAATCTTTTCCTTCCAATTAAACACCCTAGACATTGTTTTTCGCCCTTGAATATCAACCCTCAAATGCATCACCAAATCCATCTAATTCTAGTTTGCCTTGTTCCTGTTTTGATTTAAACCAAATGGCATTCTGTCTTGTAAATATCGTCTTCTTTGTATGCATTTTAAAGCGATGATAGTGATGGTCATCCTCTTCTCTTTATGCAAAGTCTTAAATAGTGATTGTATAAACTCTTACCATATTTTGCTGCTCTTCCTTGAAATTGAAGCTTGATCATGTATCAGTCTACATAAAGTAAATGCAATGCATTGCTAATGAAGGCTATGCAACTTAATTATCCGTAAGTATCTCTTTGATCTCTCAAAGTCTTGAAACAGGCCCTAACCATGGTAAGCCCTCAAGATACAACTCATGCAAGATATACATTCAAGAGAATTATAGGATTGTCCTTTTGCAATGGCTTCTGATTATCTAACACTAGTTCGTAATTGCACAAGAAGTTAAAAGAGTACTTGTACTTGAAGCTAGCCTAGAGCCTAAGGAACAAAGATAGTTATATGGAGACGTGCCAAAAGGATATACTATAAGACGATCCACCAAGTAAAGAGAACCAGCATAACGAGATTAAGCTGTTGAAAGTTCCTTGTTTAAGGCTATAAATCTTCTTCATAAATTCTAGGCTTAAATGATAATGTAAAACTCGTTGAATCTTTTATCACTTAGGTGAACATATTATTTCTATACTATAACCTAATGGGTTTTCACATCATACGTGCTGCAGGAATGTACTTCGAATGTAGGGTCAAGGGAACCTCATCCTAGTTATCTGACCGCAACATTAGACTACGAAATCACCAATTTATATCCAGAATAAACTAAAATGGAGAGAATAATATGATTTTGGGAAAAATCAACGGATAGAAGTTCATATGCAGATTGCTTTCAATTTGTGAAAAATGGTTTTAAGAGGTCAATCTAGTGTCACCTAGATCTCATCTTCAATATTTACTACAACTCTTGTCACTTTCCGGTTCAATTGAATTCAGTGCACATAGACCATTTGTCATGATTATTTCTGACTGATTAGGACTTCCATTAACATAATACCATCTTGTCATTCTAGATTCATCCTAGGATTAACCAAGCAGTGATTAGTTGCCAAGTTACTTAATCATGCAAGAGATGAACACGAAGGCATAGGCAATTAACCCACAATCCGTCCTATATCACATGACTTATCATTTAAGAGATAGACAAAGTGAAACACGCATAGCACAAAACTATTATCACCAATCATATGACATAGAAAGTTAACTGGATTAAAAGCATGTATTGATGTAGCAATCTTTAATTGTTCAAAGTAGCGGAAGTAAAGTTAACCTAACCCCTCACAGGGCTATTTCTCCTACCCTAGTCAGGGTTCTGAAAACATATGTGAAAAGCAAACATCAAACCAGAATTACACGTTTGCATCCCTAAGCTAAAGAATTGAGAAGAAGCAGGAGAAAAGAACTTATATTTGTATCTTCTCTAGCATCGGCTCCCTTTAGCTTTTGTGTTAACGGACTCCGAGACTTTGACCTTTTCCAAGTTGCCGAAGAGTATTATTGAGAGGCTCTTTTACACATTTCTCAAGGTATTACTTAACAGATTTTTGGAAATGCCTGTGAACATTACGCTGCCACGTTGATTCTTAGCTGCGACTTCTGTAAGGTTTACCTTGTTTCTCTTCCACATTAATGCGTGACAGAGCATTTGCAACGCCTGTGAAATCTGGGTATGCTAGTAATGTCATGGCTGTAAATTCATATGCACCACGACTCTGATCTTCAGGATGATTTACGCCGCAACATTTGCGATTCTCTGCATAAAGCCGAGAATTTTTGCACCAGTTTAGTGTTTTCCTTCCTCTTCTGGTGTCATTCATGGGCGGCGAAGGAGAAGATGAAGAAACGCAAGCGAACTTCGTAACGGCCAAAGAATTACTAGTCCGGTCCTAAAATCCATTTTCAGTGTAATTTACATTACACAAAATACATCTTATATTTAAAATCAAAGGAGTATTATACTGCTCCGGAGGAATACCATTTAACCCTCAGAAGTCCGTTTTGAACACAAGTACTCCTTTTATCCTTAATATATAACCCATTTAACTTATTTGATTAGATTAAGAAAGTTAAGTAAGTTAGTTAATTATAAAAAAAGTAACATATTTTTTTTCTAAATACACAATAATCATCTTTCTCAATACTCCTCTCTCTCTTTTACTTAATTATTGTTGAGGGAGTATCCATAGAGGTAATTTAAAAAAAACTGATAAATATGATAAATGAATCTTATATTTAGAACCAAAACCAATTCAAGAATTGAGTTCTCTATTAGAGACCAGAGGAGTATTTACTATTCATAAGTGCTTATGTAATTAGAGACTAAACTTTTTTTCACAGATTTATATTATATTTTATAAATCACGATTACAAAATTATTATTTTTTAAACAGGACCTTAGTTTTCACAACAAATGTGCGTAGACCACCATGAAAGCCATTCCAAACACTTGATCGTATACTTAGCCATCTTACATATTCTTGGTCCTCAAATCTAAATCACTCAAATTTCAAGATGCTAATGTAGTATAAATCCAAGGGTAACATTTCCTGATAAAATCAACTAAATAAACTAAGAAAAAAACGCGTACAGATTGATTAAACTGTACAGGATGAGCAAAATGTTTGCCACCTCATTCCTCTTGAGCTGTCCCTTTTTACAAAAAAAAAAACGTTTAACCAAATTATGTAGATTAAAAAAATTAGGTAAAATTAATTAAATATAATAAATATGTAAAAATTGTAATTTTTTTCTCTAAAACATATCCTTATTTATGGGAAGAGAAAATATAAAAGAGAAAATAAGAAAAGGAATTAATGATGAGATAATAAATACATTAGGCATTAAAATAAGTAATCAATATAGACAAAATAAGAAATTACCCAAGAAAAATTGATACTACTTCCGGTCTTTATTATAAAACCCCGTTTGACTTTTTGTTTGGTTCTAATTATAAGACCTCAATCCATTTTATCTCTCATATTTATGCATTTTTTTCAAAATAATCCTTCTAACAATGATAGTTCTAGCCAATACACTTAATTAGCAAGGATATTTTAGGAATGACAACACTTGTTTATTACAAATAACTAACTTAACGTACTTCCTTAATCTCCTCAAATAAGTCAACTGGGTTTTATAATTAGGACCGGAAGTAGTACATCTTACTAATGTTACTTATAAATAAGGACAAAATAAAAATGATAGTTATTTCTTATAAACAAAAAAAAAAAGAGCGTAATGAGTATTTCATTTACCAAAAGTTGATGAACATAAAGCTGAATGTGTGAGTGATGCACTTACTCCATTCACTATTTTGACCAATGCACCTATATATGACAAGTACCTTTGGGAAAACAACCAAAAGAACTGTGAAAGAGCTCAGATACATATGAAACAAGAAAAAAAAGTCTCCATCATCCGAGTCCTTTGATTCAAGCATAGTTTCTACAGCACAACAGTACAAGGAACAAATTTTATTCATAAATGACCTCTTCGCAAACGTCAACCACCACTTACTGGGACTACCATTGTGTCTATCTCCATTTTATGATCCCACAAAAATCCAAAAACGGCCAGATGTTCCACCAAATGTGGTATCAAGGAAATCGAGCTCCATGCCAAAGAGTTAGAACTAGAGATGATGGAGCAGAAGAGCCAGTGAAGTAAAATATCCATATCAATCATCAAACATCTTAAGGAGATGCTTCTTGATTAATTCACTGCGAGCTTTTGCCCGAGCTTGCTGAGGACCTATATTTACTACAGAAAGATAAGCTCCAACAGCAAATAATGAAGCACCGGTGATAAAAGCACCGGCAGTTATGGCTAACTGCCGTGCTGTAGGTGGATATGACCACAAAACCATAGTCTCTGCTTAAGGTCAGTTCAGCTCACTGTCGTTATGCAGCCTCGTTCTAATGCATCACTTCTGTGTCTTGTTTGAGCCTAGACAAAAGGTCAGAAGTCAGAATTGTCGTTAGTGATAAACATATGGAAACCAAATCCCTCCCTCGAAAAATCAGACATGTACGAAGTACAAGAATTCTATTTCATTTTTCTAGGCACCGGCCGTGTCAAAAACTGTTCATATAGTATCCTCATACCAATAATTAAAGGAAAACTCAGGTTAAATTATACCACTCGTACACTTTTTCAAATTATCACTCATAGAAAAGTTTCAGAATTAGTCACTGGATTCTATTGTTTCCATACATGTAATTCCCAATGTGGAGAAACAGAAAAACTTTGTTGGAGCTTGTCTCCTAAAAGTAGGACAACTAACAGAAAAATGGCGAAGGAAAATCGATGCCTGAAGATGGTGGTTTGTTAACGGTGAATTGATAAAATCGTATGACGGGATGGTATCTACTCACAAACAACATCAAGCGAATGCAAAACCTCTGCCATTGACTCAAAGCTAAACCCAATTGCGAAGGTATCCACAAAGCTACCATCAACACAATCAACATGAAACCAACACTTGACAACATAATTGACATTATCAATTCTCAATTTAATAAAATTCATCCCCCAATATCAACAATGCTAGTTCTAGTTGAAGTTTGCTACTACTATACCAACACCCATATTCTCAATCTATCCTATGTGTGTTAAAATCAATGATTGAACTTACAAATCACCTCAGGAAGCTGACAGTTTCAACAGAGAAGTATGTGTAACACAATTTCAGCTCTGGACTAAATCTGACTGTAGCCAGGTATCTTTCTCACACCCCTTTCCCTCATCTTATTCCTCACAGCAGAAACATCAAGCCATCGCTCCGCAGCTGCATAGATATTAGACAATAGCACGTAATTAGCAGCATTTTCAGGATTAAACTCCAATAGTCGATTAGCAGCAATCTCTCCCAAGTTTGAATCATTATATAACTTGCAAGCCCCAACAAGTGCACTCCAAGCACCAGCATGAGATTCTATAGGCATTGATTTTATAAGTTCATAGGCAGCCCTCATATGCCCTGATCGGCTAAGAAGATCAACCATACATGCATAGTGATCAGGAGAAGGATTAATGCAGAATTTTTGCTTCATGGAATTGAAATAATTCCAACCTTCATCAACAAGTCCAGAATGACTACAAGCTGTCAGGATAATTGCGAAGGCCACCTCATCAGGAACTATTCCTTCTGTCAGCATCTTATTAAAGAGGTTTATAGCCTCAACTCCGTGCCCATGAATTGACAACCCCTGTATCATTGAACAATATGAGATTAGATCTCGCTTAGGCAATTTTTCAAACAATTTTAATGCCCTCTCCAAGTTTCCACTCTTCGCATTCATATCCATAAGAGCTGCCATCACATGATTTGTTTTAAGATCAACAAAACACTCACATACATAAGAATCAACCCACCGTGTGAGTTCTATACACCCCAACTGGGAACAAGCGGACATCAAGCTTACCAATATGAATTCATCAGGCTTTACATTCAAAGACTCCATCTCTAGAAAAATTCGCAATGCTGCATTAGGCTGACCATTCTGGACATAACCTGATATCAAAGTAGACCAAGCAACAAGATCCTTATTTGAGCATTGATCAAACAATAATCTTGCAGACACCATATCACCACTCCTTCCATAGGCATCCATCATAGTCGTAAAGGAAACAACATTTTTTTCAAGCATGGAGTCAAAAATACCTCTAGCATTGCCCAAATCTCCCACTTTTACAAACCCTTGAATCATTGCATTCCATGAAATGACATTTCTCTGCGGCATTATATCAAACAACCTCTTTGCTTCCATAACATCTCCAACAGCAACATACCCAACCACCATAGCTGTCCAAGAAACCACATTTCTCTCAGTCATCTCATCAAATACCCTACGAGCATCACTGGTCTCTCCACATTTGCCGTACATGTCAATCAAACTAGTTCCTACAAATACACACTGTTCGAACCCACACCTCACAATTGATCCATGAATTGATTTTCCTTCCCACACAATGCATAAATTTGAACAAGCTTTAATCACAGGTGGGAATGTGTAGTTATCAGAAAGACAAGCCTCTCTCTTCATGCGTAGAAAAACATTAAGAACATTCACAAAGAAGTTCTGCTGGCAGTACCCTCTAATAAGAGAGTTCCAAAGCAAGGTGTTAGGTCTGATAACACGATCAAAAACACTTTTTGAATAATTAAGAGGAGCAAGGGAATTGGAGAGGGAAATGAACTTAGCAATGACATCATGATCTTGCTCTAACCCTTTGCTGATGATTTGCGCATGGACTTGGTATAGTTGCTCAAGGGTCTTGCAAACTTTAAGGATGGATATGATGCTAGTACCTGAGAATTTTAATAGCCTACAGCCTGTAGAGGCCAAAGAATATGTGGAAAGCATTGGAAAGAAACGCCAGCATTTGCAGAACGTTCTGTTTTGGGAAGAGTACAATATCACCCAAAATGGAAACAGAGGGTAATATATCAATATTCTTTTTTGATAACCATGGCTCATTTAAATTCCTAGACAACTAAGGAGACATATTGATGCATAGGCGAAACCAAAGAATACACGTGTCACTGCCAAGTAAACATTAATGTCAACATAGGGGAGTTTGTCAGGTTGTTAATTTTAAGTTTGTGAATCATTTTCTTTGCTCGTGGAGAATCTTTCAGAGGGGAGCAATGAGAATATTTTCATGACAACAGGGATGTTCAGTTAGTGTGCTTGATTTTACTTACCAACACACAGTATGTACTATATTTTACATATTTCTCATATTTTTTCTTATATTGGAAACAGATTTGCAGATTCTATCGAGAAAGAATATGTGCTCATGGTAGTCAAGGCATAAATAAACAGGTTCGAGCCCAAAGCCTAAATTCTGATAGAAATGAAAAGAGTCTAAAACCTAAGCATCAGCATTACCAAAGAGTTGGTGATTCCAATGAATCCAGCATCGCCATTGTGAAAAATGTGTTCTTGTTTTCATGAAAACAAATCAGGTATTGTAAAAACATATGCTTTCTCACTCTGAACCAAAGGAAAGAAAGGAACATTTTGGGATATTACAATAGAACTTGAAATCCAAAAAATTCTGGGTTTTGCATTTTGAGGGCATTAATTGTGAGCGTAATGTAGTGGAACAGTAGTGGGGATTGAAGAGGGAGAAAGGCTCAGACTGTGAGAGAAAGGTTCAGACTGTGAGATACACTTTGCCTCTTCTTGAAGAGCAAGTTAGAAGAAACCAAAGACAGTTTTACCCAAAAATAAAACAGAAAAGGAAAAAGAAAAGCAAAAAAAGACAGAAGAAGAATGAGAAGATTTCAGCAACCTATTGTGAAATCGTGGTGGCCATCATCGGTGTCTAAGTGAAGAAAGGTAAATAGGAAGACTCATACCGAGAATTGAATGGTACCTAGTTATGAAACTCAATTTCCAAGGCAAATTCTAGATGGTTCCCGTAATTTAAGGCTCAAATTAGCTTAGCTTTCTTAACACAGAATTGAGACCAAAAGCATGATTAAATCATGCTAATAGACGTGGGAAAACAACAAGAGCTTGTGCAGAATTTAAACCCAACTCCAAGCCACAGTGAAAACCACAATTTAAGACTAAAACACTCATGCCAAACAAAGACTTAGAAAAGCTTTGACCCGCACTTTATGTCAAATCAAACAGATAAGCAGGTATTACTAGAGGTTCAACCAACTTTTTAAAGAAGAAGAAGAAGAATGAACATATGAGCGCAGACTTCCTATCAGCTGAAACGCAGTGAACTTCTACCCCAGACAATGCAAATTAGGAGCAAGACACCATAGTTGAAATAACAACAAATTTTCTGATATATTTCCGCACAAGAAAAAGATTGTTCAGAGTAGGAAAAGTTATAAACCCTATTTCTATTGGAAACAGGACTACACAAAATAATCCCCTTCTAAGTAAAGTTCAGCAAACTTAACTTCTTCCAAATAGAAAATCGAAAAACCATCTGAAGGGAAGCACAACCAAATCAAAATGAAAGAAAAGAAAAAAAAACCATCCCCCAACTACCAAATCATAATAACTAGCTCACCTCTTGCAACAAAATCCACAATTTATACAACCCAAAGGAGCAAGGATGGTAAAAGATAGACTCTTACTCTGGATTTCCTTCCTAAACATCAACAATGTAAGCCTTCAATCGGGAATATGATGACTGACCTTCACAGCGGAATACGCATTCCGTCTAACCACCTAAAGATCAACCATGGATGCGTTCAAAGGAAGACTAGGACCTTCGAAGTTCGAACCTCGTCAAGTCGGGAGAGGAAGGAACCGAGCGGGGTGGCTTCCAGCGAAGTTTATTTCCCGGCAACCAAGCGGGTCCTGATTTCTAACCGCGGGAACCAAACTATAACCACACCAAAAAAAAAAATTGCTAGGCCCAATTAACTTGTGAACTTTCACCAGTATTTTTCATAAAGTCAATTTACTTTTTAATCAAGGGTATAAGGGGAATTTCATAACAATATGATGAATAACACTAAAAAAAATAATTTCCATTATATATAGGAACAAATTTTACACCAACTTCATTTCAAATATAACGTGGGTTTTAAAAAGTCTCATGTTGTATTTTCTGAATTTCTAAGGATAATTAATGTCTTTTTCTCAAATGCCCCTAAAAGTATACTCCATCTTCCGTCCCTTTTTAGAAGAAAAAATTTCTTTCATGATGGTGTTTTTAAATATAAGAAACAAATCTTTATTATTTAAAATTTTAAGCTAATTTTTTATTTTTACCTTTATCAAATATATATATCACTTATTATTATCTCTCTGGAATAAATTTTTACTCATTATATCGTATACACTCTTTTTACAAATAAGGATATAATTAGAAAAATATAAATATACCCAATACATTTATCACTTTTAACTAAATTTGACTAATATTTTGAACTGTCATTTTGGTAGTTCTTTTAGTGGGCGAGTATTAAAATTTCTTATTCTACATATTGATACTACATTTGCAATGGATTGGGTACGCTGCATGTTGATACACACACGTTTAGATTAATGATTAAAAAAGTAGCTTATTGTCAAATTTGACTTTTAAAAAAGTTAGATTGGGTAATAGTTAAATTGGGTGATGTGAATTGTATTTGAATTAGATTTTGTAAAAGTTAGTTTGTGAAAATAAGTTGTTTGGATTATGATTGAATCAGTAATTTTAGTTTGTAAAATTATCAAAATGAATAAGAATTTTATTAAATAATGAAAAATAAAAAAATTATCAATTTACATAATATAATAATTTTAAATTATTTATAAGCTGCTGTCGATCTCATTTTTTTTATTTTTTTTATTTATTATAAGGGCATATTTGAAAATAAAAATATATTTCTAACTTATTTATTACTTTCAATTACTTTTAACTGATTTTTTATTATCTGCAAATTAGTTATTTGAAACTTATAATAAAAATCAGAAGAAGTAGTAAATTTCTTAACTTTTTTCTCTCCATGTTTTAAAAGCCATAAGTCATAAGTAACTAATTTTTACTTATAGCTTTTTGTGTAAAAGTCAAATTGTTTAATCGCCAATCTGAGTATCACAAAGTTTTTAAACGTGCTTATGCTTCGAAAAAAATAACTTAATGCTCTCCAAACGCTGAAACAAACAGGCACTTATTGATACTACATTTTGAACTGTGTGAACATGGTAGTTGCTTGTTGCCATTAGTACATCTTCTTCCATGATTTCTGACTCTGTAATTACCCAAGTGTAATTGTTGATCCAAACTCCTGAAAATAGTGGGGAAAGAAAACACTGGTGTTCTGATCATTTGGAAACCAAACAACATCCAAACTTAATTTATCGTTATGATTCATGCTATCAAAAAGTTAGTATTTTGAAATACTCCTACGTACCCATCAAGTGCAATGAATAAAGTCTTAACTAGTTTTTATAGTTAGAATGTGATGGACTATCGACTATTTTACAAAAATTCATGTCCTTCTACAAAATTGAACTTCAATTCAGAAGATCATTGAACATGAAGAAGAAGTAGATATAGGCCAAAGGGGAAGAAGTAAGCACTGAAATTACCACATGATTTGATAAAAACAGGTACATGAAACTGCACGAGAGAAGAAATGAAAAAGGAACCACAGAAAAAACTAGACACCAAACAGGATTCTCACGGAAATTTCATATTTGAACAACCTTCTAGTGAAATAAAATAGCTACAACATAGAACAGAACAGAGAAACCCATGAACCCAGCAGAAACAGAGGAAGCTGAGGCTGATCCAGCAGTAGCAGCAACCATTGCTGATGGAGAAGGAGCCAGATCATAGTAATTCTCGAGTTCAAGCGCATTAATCACCACATTCTTTGAAATCAAACACACTGTTGTCACAAAACCCAGAGCTGTCACCAAAGAGAACATGTTGTGCAGAGCAATGGACTCTCCGGGTTCTGAGGATTTTAGCGTGGGAAAAGGAAAGAGAGGTTTTTGCCTTTTTAAGATTGTTTGAGGAAAAAGAAGTTAAGAGGATGTAGACAGAATTTAGACCACTGCATGAAGATCGAGCTGTCAAGAAAACAAAGTCATGGGTTTAATGTGGATTGAAATGTGTCTTTGGATTCCTTCCGTTCTCTAACTTTCATGCTGCTCAAAGCTGTGCGCTTCTGCAGGTGCAACTTCTCTTTTTGTTTTTAGTTTGACAAATATGATAAAATATGTCAAGGTCATCATATGACTGACACGAAGTTTGAATGAATGAATCATATTAGAAAAAATTGGATCGAAAATGAAAGCTTTATGTACACTTTCAGAGTGTTATATTTTCTTATTTACTGCCATATCATCCAATGAATATCATTAATGCTCCCTTCGGACTCATAATATAGGACATCTTCTAGAAGGAGTCATTAACACTTTGATAGTTTTAAATGGTACTTGCACCCTGCGATTCTTAAAATAATAACTACTTAATCAATTTAGTTAGATTAAAGAAATTAGAAAAATTAATTATTTGTAATAAATATAAATTGATTTTTTTAAGATATCTTTTTTAACCATAACTATCATTAGATGAATATTCCTTAATATGCGTAATCAATAGTAATATTTTGAAAAATGAATTATAAATGTGTGAGACAAAATGTGTTAAGATATTATATTTAGTACCAATTTTAACAATGAATTAGTTCTTATATGAAAAACAAGAGATATTATTAAATATTTTTTCATTCACACCAATATTTAATAAAAATAGTAAGAACGAGTAGAAAATAGAAATTAATATAATGTTTGGAATATAGTGTAATTACTAAAAATAATATTAAAAATCGTTTGTATTTTATGACACGTTTTGGTGATTTTAATTGTTTTTAATTCATATGTATCAATTAGTTAGGAGTGATTTATACTTGGGTTAAGAGAGAGTATAATGTATAAAAATTAGAAATAATATAATGTATTTTTGATTATGTACAAATGTACGGGTCCACTTTGATTGACTCAAAATAATGTTGGGAAAATTACGTACAGTCTCACAGAAGGCAATTTATTACTCTGAGGTCTCACGAAATGTCAAAATCACTGACAAGTCCCAAGGGACCTCAGAGTAATATTTTCGATTTGTAAAATGACATTATTGCCCCTCATATTCCATATTCACATTTGCTCTGTCATTGCGATTTACAATCTCAGCAGCGACTATTAACAACCTAATGAAGAGGCGTTAACAATCCTAGCAATATCCGTTAACAACTTACTTTATAGAATCATATAACTTCCACATAAGAGTAAATTATAACCAAATAGTATAATACAACAACTTTAACACTAAAATGGGAAGCTTTTTGATATCATTAAGAATTTTAACTAGATCCAATAGGATTATAGTAATATTTTAATGCGAAGATCCATTTACAACCTCAACAGCGACTATTAACAACCGAATGAAAGGGTATTAACAACCTAAGCAGTATCCGTTAACAACTTACTTTATAGAATTATATAACCTCCGCATAAGAGTAAACTATAACCAAATAGTATAATACAACAACTTTAACACTAAAATGGGAAGCTTTTTGATATCATTAAGAATTTTAATTAGAGCCAATAGGATTATAGTAATATTTTAATACGAAGATGCATTTACAACCTCAACAGCGACTATTAACAACCGAATGAGAGGACATTAACAACCTAAGCAGTATCCGTTAATAACTTACTTTATAGAATCACATAACCTTCATATAAGCGTAAATTATAACCAAATAGTATAATACAACAACTTTAACACTAAAATGGGAAGCTTTTTGATATCATTAAGAATTTTAACTAGATCCAATAGGATTATAGTAATATTTTAATGCGAAGATCCATTTACAAACTCAACAGCGACTATTAACAACTAAATGAGAGGGCATTAACAACCTAAGCAGTATCCGTTAACAACTTACTTTATAGAATCACATAACCTCCATATAAGCGTAAATTATAACCAAATAATATAATACAACAACTTTAACACTAAAATGGGAAGTTTTTTGATATCATTAAGAATTTTAACTAAACCCAATAGGATTATAGCAACATTTTAATGCGAAGATCCATTTATAACCTCAATGGTGAGTATTAATAACCCAAAGAGAGCTGTTGACAATCTAGACAGTATCTGTTAACAACTGACTTTATAGGATAATATAACCTCTAACAACTATATAAGATTAACTTTAAGACTATTTAGTTATAATTTAGTTAGTTATAGTTAGAAGTTATATTATCCGATAAAGTTAGTTGTTAATAGACACTGCTGAGGTTGTTAACAGTTCTCCTCAGGTTATTAATACTTACTGTTGAGGTTGTAAATGGATCTTCGCATTAAAATATTACTATAATCCTATTGGCTCTAGTTAAAATTCTTAATGATATCAAAAAGCTTCCCATTTTAGTGTTAAAGTTGTTGTATTATACTATTTGGTTATAGTTTACTCTTATGCGGAGGTTATATAATTCTATAAAGTAAGTTGTTAACGGATATTGCTTAGGTTGTTAATGCCCTTTCATTCGGTTGTTAATAGTCGCTGTTGAGGTTATAAATGGATCTTCGCATTAAAATATTACTATAATCCTATTGGATCTAGTTAAAATTCTTAATGATATCAAAAAGCTT